ACCACCAAAAGATTTGTGACTGGATCACGAGACTGATCGTAAATTTTCATTTTCTGAGAAAATAGTAGTTTTGTCGATTCGTAAAGTCGTGATTAGTCTTGTTTTATAATCGATATAATTTATTTGATACCCATCTGGTATCTTGTTTGAAAATTTGTAAACATTTGTGTTACATTGGTGGATAGTTTTAGAAACGAATTTAGATACTGCAATATCTGAAAGAAAGAAATGCGAAAAAAATACTATACTTGATGTTTGATAAAACGAGGAATGAAAAATCGGTGAAAAATTGCAACCGATATTCTAAAGATAAAAAGCATTTAGTAAAGGAATAATGAATTTAAACGTGTTCATCATAATTAAATCAAAGCTTTCAGAAGAATCGAAAGCATTCTATACTCTTTTTAGTACATTTAACATATTAAAAAAAGTGTATTGGGAAAAAGTTTTTTATAGAGTACGCTAAGATCGAAATAGAGCGCGCGAGAGGAAAGAGGGGGAGGAGAGAGAGAGAGAGAGAGAGAGAGAGAGAGAGAGAGCTCGATTCGCGAAATAGCAAAAAAATAACGATGTAATTTTACTCGTCACAGAAGTGAGATGAGAAACAAAGAGCTAGGCCATCGTTGAAGTTTGAAAGCGGTGATAGGAAAAACGGAGTAGTAGCGGGTAGCAATAGAAGGCGGGAGAAACATTCTGATGGGAAGGGGAGTACCGAAAGAGGGTGGAAAGAGCGCCATGTTCGCCCTCTGCCGCTCTTTTGAAGGTCAAGGTTTTCCGTCCCTTGTTGACTCTGTGTGTGTGTATGTGCGTGCGTGTGCGCGCGCGAATGTGTGAGAGAGAGAGAGAGAGAGAGAGAGAGATACAACGGGGATAACTACGATAAATGTGGTGGAGGATGGCTCAGTCGTAGGAGGGATGAAGAGAAAGAGAGAGAGAGAGAGGGGAGAAAGAGAGAGAGAGACGGAGAAAGAGGGAGAGTGTAGCGAACATATACGTGGGTGGTTGAGGGTAAACTGTAGGAGAGAGGGAGAAGTGTAGGGGGTAGTGAGAGCCTGGTGCCCAGTATTTATAGCGCTTGCGAACTGGTCGATAACGAATAGCGACATTGCGCAGTTGGGAAACCCCCGCGTCGAAGCCAGCCCACGCATATCGCCCTCTTGTCGCCCTCTACCAACCCCTTTCGTTTTGACTCTTTTCCCCTCCTGTCCATCTCTTCCTCTTTGTCTCTTTATTAGCAGCTTAAATTTAATTTTTACTTCGACGCGGAGAGTAAACGTTTAATCTATTGTGTCGTTCCACTCTCTATAAAGATATTTCCTTTTTCTCGGGTTTTCTTTTTGTTGATAGATTTATTTTTATTCTTGTTAGTATTAACTATACTTTAGTGTTCCATGGCTTTATTTTTTTAAATGTGTATTGCTTTGAGATCTTGTTGTAAAGCGTAAAATGTATCCAGATCAACTTCACTGCGTCCTCAATTATAGATTTTTAAAATTAATTTTGAGTTAATTTTTTCTTATATTAGTTGTCAAAATATTTTAAAAGAAAAATAAGAAATGATGATAAAATCTCTAAATTTATTTTTTTTCTTTTGTATTTTATTTTTATTCAACAATTGTAAATTTTTTTAAATAAAAATTTATTAAATATATCTTAAATATATTTTTAGATACATATTTTTTAAAAAGAATCTTGAATATTTGATGAGTTCTGAATTTTGATTTTTTTTAAAGAAAACAAGAATTTTTTTGAGAAGTAAGAATATTTTTTGTGAAATCAAAATGTTCCAATGTAAAATTAAGTTCTATATTTGATTCTATATTTACGGGTACATATATTTTACATATATAATTATTAGATGCTTTATAGCATAAATATTTTCTCATACTCCGAACGTAATCAAAAAATAATGCTTCATCATATATCTTTAAAGAATTTTTCGTGATTGTTGTTTCGTATACATCAACTTTTTATTTTTGTAAAGATCTTAATAGTAAATTCAAGGTGGAAATTGCTGCGATAATTCATATCTGTTTGTTGCGTCGAACATGGCACATTTATCTATATTCTAAGTACCTTAAAGCTTTAATGACTTCCTTTATGTGTCTCTTTCTTCTTCTATCTACTTTTCTTGAATAATTCACCGGCAAACTCATTATAAGCGTGTTACTGTACTCATAGTCCTAAGTATAGCAACTTTACGTGTATTTTTGATGCAATTCATGGGATGAGTTATCGGAAAATGACCGAATGGCGTGGCAAGAGGTGTTAAATTAAAACTCGATTATCTAGAATAAAAATTGTTAATAAAGATTCTCAGAATGAATCGTCGCGTATGCGATGTGATTTCGTCATCACATTTTATTCATAAAAATATTTACAGTTAAAGAATTGTGAAATATTAGATAAAATGTGTGTGTGTGTGTGTGTGTGTGTGTGTGTGTGTATAGATTTGTGTGATTGTATATCTATTTTTTATATAGTAAATATTTATCTATTTTTCATAAGTAAGTATTCGGCACACAGTAAGAGTTTTTTTTATTTCGTGAAAAAATAATGTTGTATTTATCTTAGTGTTACTCAATTAATTGTGATAACATAAAATATTTGTGGAAAAGCTATATATATATTAGGAAAGATTCTGCTTAAAAGTTAGCTACGACGCACATTTACATACATTTGTATGTGTATGTATATAAAATTTATATATACATTTTAAATTAAAATTTTTTCAGTTTATTCATTTAAGTAATTGTTTAAAAAATAGAGATTTCTCTAGTATTATTAGTGTGTTAATAATAGATGCTATTTCAGAAATTGCTCGGGTTACAAAACATTTTAGCATGAAATATAAAATGTTTGCGATTTTAGATTTGAAAAATAACGAGCGTTATGTGTTTTACGATGCTTTTTGTTGAACTCGCTTATGATTGAAAATTATTCACAGTCTTCGTATTTCGTTTGTCTCAACAGCGTTGCGCCGATTATTATTACTGAATCGTTAGTCAATCCATAATTAAATGGTATCAATAATTAATTAGTATCGTCGTAAAAACAAAGTTTTATGTGTTCTGCTGTGATAATTAATCACGAATGAAAGTACGAGGGATATTATATATCGGACGCGCTCGTTTAAAGTAATATGACACGAAGAATAGAGAAAGTTAACGCGCTGTGAAAAAAGGAAATGAGAGAAAATCTCGCAATTTGCGTTCGTTTTTAAAACGTACTCTTGTCTTAAGAATCGAGAACACAATGTTTGAAAATGTAAACATTTAATGTTGTTCGTATTAGTGAGTGAAATTCTGACGTTTTCGCGTGAATCATATTTTGTATAACAAGTTGTAAAGTCTATTATGGGAAAGGATTGAATTCGTGAAAAAAAATAGAGTAGCGAATTCGAGCGAGATAATTACGAACAAGATAAAAATTTAAAAATCCTTTCTGGAAAGCGAAATAGGGAGGGGAGGATAGGAAAAAAGGACTCGAAGTAGGCGGAGTAGTGTGAGGATACAGAGTGGTGGGGTAAGTGCATTGCCACCCCTTTCGTTCTGTGCTGAAGCGTATTGAGGATGGTTGATCGAGTCCTCTCTCTGTTCCCTTCGAAAAGAGAAGAGTGGGAGGGATCGTTTTGGTGCGATGCAAATAATGAATAGTTTGGAAAGATGAACACCGGCGAAGATTAGGTCTCATTGAGATAACGTCACGAGAGTGCAAAAGTCACCACATAATATCTTTTCTATGTTCTTTTCAAGGATAATTGAAATTGGTATGATGATTAATTGACATTAATGAGACAAAATTTCGATGTGAAGATAAAATAAAATTGTGATGCGTGTGGCATCAAATGTGGAACTATGTTCTACATTTGGTAAAAAAAAAAAAGAAAAAAAAACGAATTTACTGAGATTAAAATAATTTCTTTCGATCTATGTAATTTCGAAGGTACGAATCCACAAGTGGATGATTCTTGTATGTTCAAATGTATTCTATGATCAAGCGTGCTTTTTATTAAAATACAGTTTATCTTAAATTTTACTTTTATCAATTAATTAGCTTAAATTTTTAAGCTAATTTAATCTTGAATTTTGTAAATTCAATTTTTTATCTTAAAAAAATTAAGGGTTGACGGAAACTACCTGGCATCTGATTGATAACTTTCCAATAATTTTCCGTACTTACAATTTTGCTTTTACATGGAAATACTTTTCGTTATTATTTTTAAATATCTGTCATATCGCATTTATAGTATCATGTGAGTTAGAATCTTGCAAAAATATCCTATCGGACTAGTACTCGAATTTCTGAATTTTCAAACTTATTGATAACTAAAATTTTCTTCATTTATATCATTTATATCATACAGATAATATAATTAATAGAAAAAGATCAATTAGTAATAGTAAATACTATAATACTATAATACGAGAAACTAATTTCGATTAATGCAGAATATCAGACTTATTCTTAATATTTCTTTCCTCTTTTTCATTGTTACTGAAGAGTAACATTAATATAAATTTATATCCGAGAGATATAGAAAACAGACGATAGAGAGAAGTGTGAGAGGGTGGATGCACCCTTTTCCCCTCTCTTGATGAGGGATGGTACGAGTTGGTTGGGGAGGATGGCCGCCCTTTTCCGAGGAGAGAGGAGGCAACTCGTTGGAAAATTTATGCCGGCAGTGGATGGACCGTAAAGGTCGCCGTGGTTGCTGGTTGTCTCCTCACTTCGGCGCCGTCGCCGCCGGTTTGCCCTCCTTCGTAAAGGTTGCCAGCTGAGAGCAACGTCAGCAACGAGAGTAGATCGTAGTGTTGTCGCAGCTTGTCCCGGGATTAGTTATGTGTTCTATCATTGCGAAACGTGATCTCTTCTCTGGAAGGGACGAAGTGTTTTTCAATGGCGTGCTATTTATAGGAGTGAAATTTATAGAAATTAAAGTAATCAGTACACATGCGCGCGCGCGCGCACGAGAGAGAGAGAGAGAGAGGGGGGGGGGAATGAAAGAGAATGAGAAGAGAGAAAAGGACAGAGAAAAAGGAAGAACGAAAAGATGCGAGACAAAGAGCTGATGAAATCAGCTGGGAAAAAGTGTGGAATGCGTAGGTAGAAGAAAGGAAGGTAGTTAGAAAGAAGATGCGAATGAACGTTTTAAGAGTGTACATTATCAATGTACACTCTTTTTGATTCCGTTTTTTCATCCGAGACTTTGGGTTTTCGACGTAGTAAATTAATTGGTGAATTATTCGTGTAATGACTGAAATAAGGCGGAGAGGGAGGAGGCGCGAGATTAATTTCTGACAATTCTCAATTTATCATATTTATTCTTAGGTCATTTAATTCTTTAATAAAGATTGATATTTTTTTTGCACCATTTAACGATACATATTATCTTGACTTTAAAGTCCATATATTCAGAAGTATTTTTATCCATAAATATGCGTTTTTATTTCTAAAATTTTATGGTGTATGTAACGTGAATAACTATATATGCGCAGTAACAAGTGCGTGTTCTGAATACCTAAGGACCTAAGGATTTATTCACAAAACATTATGTTTCTAAAGATATTTGTTAAATAAGTTTCTTATGATGTGACGTTATATTATATTTCGGAATTGAATTTTTCATGTTACAGTGCGCGTTATTAAACAAAATTATCCAAACAAGATTACGTCACATTACGAAAAACGAAGCTACATTGCGATGCAAGCTTTAGTTATATATACATATATTTCTCTTCTTCATTACTCATTGACGTTGATCTATGATGCCGATAATGTTCTTCGCGAACACTCTCGAGATCAGTCGTGCCGCATGAGAATGATATCATGTCGATATTCGATTATTGCGATGCGGGTGGTGTCACACATTGACGAAATCAATATCGAGTGTGTGAGACCTTGTGTGGATCTCAAGGACATATATGGCGAGATAAGTCTGTCGGAAACATGACGCGTGCAATTTGTGATCATCCAATTGTTCGTCATTCATAAAAGGATCGATTGTTATCGTTAAGGCAACACGCACTTCATAGAACATTTTGCTCTCTTGTTGCATGTTAAGTGAAAGATCTTGTAACGAAAGATCTGTGGGCTCTTTTTAGGCAAATTTATTTATTTTATTGTTATTATATGTACCTATTATTATTTAGATTGTAGTATTGCTTAAAACATGAGATATATACGCTAATAGTATATGAATTAAGCTGCAAATTAAATTTAAAAAATTTGTTTTACTGATGATAACATAATGTGAAAGAAAATGCAATGTTTAATTTTTGTGTGCGTGTATTGTGCGAAGTTTCGATATGGCTCGTATATGCGAAAGATCAGCGACGGACTTGGAAATGTGGATATTCTTATTCTTTTACTGGCACTTTTCTTATCTAATGCAAAACACTAAAAGTTTCTTTGAAATATATTTTGCATTTTTGTTGCGAATTTCCACCGATGCAATTTTTCGCATTTCATTTCCTTGCTGAAAATGGTTACAGTTTCTCTGCTAAATGTTTTCTTTTTCCTTCCGTGTATTTTCGTTTGGTTATCAATGTTTCTCTTCACTTTGTATAAGCATACATAGAATGATCAGTTTTGTTAAATCATCCAAAAATTTAGCTAGAATATAAATCTGAACATAATTGTGTTAGACTATCAAAATAATTTGTAGACACTCAAACTCTAGGTGTATATATGATTATTAGAAAAAGATAAAGAGAAAAATTAAAAAATTGCTTAATAGAAACAAAATTAAAATGTTTTTTTTTTAAATTATTGAAGTTAAATGATATTTAAAAATGTTATAAAATTTAATCGCTGTTTCATAAACTTCATTTGAATTTATTCAAGCGCGTAGTTGTGGCAATATTATACGCATTTCGAATACGCTAAACATTTTAATTTTGTACTTTTTTTTTGGTTCATATGCAGTTTTAGTTTCAGCAACGTTGCATTGTGAGATTTCTTCATTCGAATCTGGAATTAATTATTATTATAACCCTAACGAGTGACGATATGGCAAAAGATGGCTCTTGGATAACTAGTGCAACTATTTTGTATTGAAAATGTTTAGCTAATGTGAATTGATATATGTATGAAAGAGAAAAAACGAAAGTGAAAGAAAAAAAGAGAAAAATATATGATTTGATCACATATATTCAAATGTAAGCAGGAATTAAATAGATATTTGAATATAGGGATGTGTGTGTATACCTGTGTATAAATGTATGTCAGTATCATCTCAGTATCGAATTGAAATTGCAAATTTGGTTAATCATTGATGACGTCAATCTGCGTCATCGCTGTGTCTTCGATTGAAAATGAGATTTTCCTCTCGATAATTCTTTTCAACAAAACTATGAATCATCTCCATAGTGTCGTATAATTAATCGTCCAATAATACATGACAGTATGTGTTGCACAATTTTTAACCGATGTTTTTTTTCCTTGTGGATTTCAGTGAACAGACTCCATTGCGAGTCGGAATCATTCAAAATGGATCTCATCCTGGACATCAACAGTTGGTTATACCCAATGGAACTAGGTGAGTCTTTTCTTATTGGTAAATTAATTGCTTTTGTATGCTGAAGCGATTAAAAGTGATATCTAATATTCGGTCACACTTGCACTATTGTTCTAATTACGATAATGCGTTAATTTGAATATTATTTTTAATAAACATATTGTATTATTTTTATTAAACATACTGTAAACTAAGAACACTGAATTTCTAAGAAAGATTTATTTGTAATTTTATCAAGAAAAAAGTGAGAGTACGAAAAGTCTTGGCTTATTTTCATTTGTAATTCCTAAACGAAATAATTAACTTGGCTATAGATAGGTAAATTTAACGTACAAGTGATCGAGGCCATTGAGCATTAAATTATGTCTTAAGTGGTTATTAGAAGGTCCAATTTATCATTGTAAAAGATAGGATAAGCTAAAAAATTATGTTCGTTATATCCCCCCAGAGTTGAACCCCTCAGGTAAGCAGTATTATAATAGAAAACCTGATAAAAGTGATTTCATTTTTTAAGCAATTTTGTGTTATTTTGTATTATATATTTTGCGGATGAGGTGATATACACATATATATACAATTGGATTATATGCCATTTTAAGAATATTTAATAATTAATATTAATAATTAATTTAATACTTATTCTTTCCTTCCAAGTTATAAGTTATTTATGTTTATAAAACTCTAGATTATATCCATATAGAGTTTGACAATCGGCCCACTACTAGGTCAGTACTGAGACTGCCATAGTTCAAGTACTGGCTAAGTACTGAATGATAACTTGGGCCCAGTACTGGCTTAGTCATTTTAGCCAATCATTTGCTAGTGATAGTCCAGTACTAATTGACAGAACCTTTGCCGTAAGTTGACAGTCGTAGCGTTGGCTAAGCGTTGGTTTCGTTCTAACTGCTGACGATCCTATATGAGTAAATACAAAATATTTTTTGCATTTAAAATATGAAATGTATGAAAAACTTGTATGTTATATTAATTAAAAATTGGTCTTATTTCCTTATACGTAAAATTTATGTATCGATAATAGTACACTATCACTGAATAGCGATAGCATTCTACAGTTAAATATTTTAGGTTAAGTAACTATACTTTCATACAATTTATATAAATATATAAAAAGTATAAAGCTACTTAATATTTTTATACAATTTTAAATGTTCGATAACTCGCGTAACAACATTTTATTTGTTTAATGTAACATTTGAATGATTACAATTTATTTTGCAACTATCTTATTCTATGTACCATACATAATTTGTCATTTTTTTATCATAAAATACGTTATTGTCTCGAAATCTTAAATTGAATTTTTATTCAGAAATGTATTTGTAAGGAAATAAAAATACATATGTACTTCATAAGAGTATCATTCCGTTGCTTCGTACAAAAATGTTATAATTTCTTATTTAATTGTAATTTCTGAGCCACCAGTTTTTTATGTTATTCTGAAATACAAAAATCAGCCCATTGTTCTGCATTTTTAATGTTATATTGAGAAGCGTGTTAAAAGCAAAAGTTCATTTCATATGTAATACACATGTGAATTGAAAGGTTTTATACAGAATATTAAAAAAGCGATACTAAAATGAGCTAATTTAAATGATGAATGGTAAAAATTGTTTATGCGCATTTTATTGCGATCAATGCTGATATAAAAAAAATATATATATATTTTGTATAGAAGTTTTATCAGACATACACGAACACATATCTTATTTAACATAGTTAAGCAAAGAAAATAGTGAAAATAGTTATATTTTTTCAAGGTTTTGGAATCTAATGAAATTTAATAATTTAATAATTTGGAATCTATTTTTGTGTGAATTTTATATTTTTTCCAAACGTCAAGCAAACTGCGTATCGATTATTTGTCGACCTGAAACCGAGTCCTAAAGACTGAAGCTGAAATTGACAAATTGTATAATATTATTGATGTACTAATGAGTATCTTTAAAATACTGTATAAAGAATTTATTGTAAAAAATATTACCTTTTATACACGGAATTCGATTCTGGTTCTTTCTTATTTCGTGCAGGCATTCTACTAATTCAATCATCGAGGCATGTGGTCATATTAATTGCGATAACTAATATACATACTTGTTGGAAAAACGTTTATATCAGTATTTTAAAGATATTTATTAGTGTCACTATTAATATTAAATTGCTTGTCTATTTATTTTGTGATATATTACTGTAAACATTGGATTTTTTATGCAGACAAAATATGAAAATGTGCAAATATTTTGATTTTACTTCTCTGCTTTCCCAAAAAAATATGCATATTTCATCCGATATCTAGATTTTACGTAATCCAGTTTCAGTTTAGGACTACGTTTCAAGACCGACAAATAATCGGCGCGCAGTTTGTTTGAATTGGAAATTATAAAATTCATACAAAGATATCGTTAAACATCACCCGCCTTGAAGATTACTTCCTTCGTTAAATCGTGTTGAATATTTCTCGATTGATTTTCACTTAAATATCTTATTGTCAGAGTGGAAAAAATTGCTAAATATATAAAATTCTTCTCAAGAGGATACTTTGTGATATCATTTAATTATGAAGTAGAATATTTTGAAATATGAATTGTATTAACTTTGTAATCAATTTTTTTTTATTTAAATTAATCTACGCAAAATTAACAATTATTTTATCAGATTTATTTAACATGTTTGTAAAATTTATTAAATATAATTTAATGTTAATATTTAATTGATAAAATTATTGTATTAATCGTATATCTTACAAGACTTTGCCTAGTTTGACTTAAAACTAGTTTTGATACAAGCCACTTAAATTTTTTTCCGCTAGTACATATTACTGTTATTATTATTGTTTTTAAAGTTCTATACACATTGTTTCCGACGTCTTTAGAAATTGAAAGATGCATAAAAGATTTTTGTCGTATGTTTTGAATTGCGTCGCGTGAAATTATGTTGGCGTTTATGTGCGAACATTCGAATCTTTCGAAATGCATTTGGCAACGGTGAGCGGTCGTGATATTCGGCTTTTCTCTCTTGTATGACTTCCAAACTTCGCCAATGGCACTTCCGGTCTCTTTCTTAAACATCGAAACTCTCTGTATCTACAGGGGAACTCTAAAATAGGTTTCAACTTTGCAACTTTTTTAGTTCATGTGTTCATGTTTTTTTAGTAAAAATGTTGAGGAAGTGTCAATTATTAAAAATTACAGATAGTTGAAAATAAATGATTTTAGGCTATAAAGATTTTAATAGCAGAATATATTTGAAAATATTGATATACTATAGAATTAATGCTATGTAATTAAATAATACAATTGATTATTAAAGGTGGATTTTATATTTCTCGAAAACAATATTTGCTCATATTTCTAAAAATACATGACACTTTTACAATATAAAAAGTTTACATTTTTAACGTATAATATTATTAATGTATAATATTATTAACATATAGTATTATAATATTATAGTTACAGTAATATATTAAAAATATTTTCCTTTTTTATTTCAAATATTAGCCTTTCATTCACATTTTCCAAATTTCTTGGCAAAAGACATGTAAGATTCATTTCTTACACTTTTTGCACTTCCGTCGCTAATGCGAATCTCTTGCAGTTTTAAATTGTCTCTGGCCAAATTTTGTGCGTGTGTGTATGTGTGTCATTTAATGTAGTAAAAGTCGGTAAGATCTAAGATAATATTTTATTCGTAGAGAGTAAATGCGTTTGATCAAACTAAGATTGCAGTAGCACATCTCTCTTTATAAAAGACATGATTAATCTCGAAATATTTCGTTTAAACACAGTCATTTTTTCTGAGAAAACCAAACAAGTGCAAATAAAATCCTCACGTGTGCTATTATGTCATAATTATTTTATATGTTCCAGAAAAAAAAACAAGATTTATTTTTTAAGGCCCCTCTCTAAAAGTCACAGCAATTTTAGATTGTGACATTAGAAACGAGGAAAACAAAAAGAAATTTTTGAAAATATATTGTATTGTATAAATATATTAAAATGTATTTTTTAATAAAACAATACTCTCAATTGATGGAATAGATTTGTAAAATATACCAAAAATTCTCCTTACGTTTTGGGAATCAATAAGTAATTATATACTTGAAATTAAATTATGCCTAACTAGAAATTGAAACCAGCTATATATACAATATTATTTTAATCCATTTCAAAATAAAAGTTGTCGATATCTATATTTTATAAGTGTACTCTATCAAATGCAAATATTGTTTTATTGAAAATATTTCTGTTTTAATAGATTTTACAGCAATTTTGATTGGATTTTTTTCGCTTCTGATATTGTTAATCTGAAGAGTATGATGAGTGGTCAGGAGCTTTATATAATCTTTACATATAATTTTTTTGATTTCCATTTATATATATTACGTGTTCGTAAATATTTTTCATTATACCTTCTATGTATAAGATAATGTATAAAAGTAATTCAATACGATAGAAGAAAAATTATATCAATTAAATATTTTTACAAAATTTCGCTCGTTTCTAGCATTTGAATATTTTTATTTTATTTATACAAAAAGTAACTTAATGATGACTACAATTTTAAAATTTAAATCTTAACATTTTTGGTTTTGCGTTATATTTGCCACGCGACAAATGATAGCGGTACCATGTGTGTATATGTATATTGTCTTTCGATTCATCTCTGCGCTAATCGCTACATTCACGGAAATAGTTTACCCCTAACATCTTTTTTCTTAACCCGCCATCTTTTCGCGATCGCTCGTCCGGTTATATCGGAGATACGATGACGTGCGATTTATCGTTGAGTCTGGCCATTTTGCTCCAGCGAGCACGTTGCGTCTCGTCGGAGAGCAGTGCGATCGCGGCGATTAATGCTTCCTCGTTTCTGAACTTGACCAATGGAAACTCGCTGACCGAGTCTGACTTCGAGGCTCGTCTTGACTCCGCCTCTGAATTACCGATGCGGTTGCAGCGATTGGTGAAGTTGATTCAAACTAAGGGCACCGATGCCTTATTTCGATACAACCTACTGTCTGTCGGATAAAGACGTTCCATCTCTTTGAGACGGGCTCAACGAAATTGGTCAATTCCAAAGTGAAATTGTCGATTTTATGGATCGAAGGTTTATTTGGTATTTTTAACATATGCGTATTTACAATGATGTGACATGACAATGATGTAACGTGACAATCATTTGCGACAGAAAATTATTTAAATTTTAAAAGTTTGAAATTATTGAATATTCTGGAATGCACATATGAATAATTATGAATAATTATATGACAAGGTATAGAGCGTCAGACTAAAATAAGATAAGAAACAAATAAATTACGATTGAGCAAAAGACAAATTTGTTACTTGATAGTTAATGTAATATTCGTAATATCAGATGTCGCATGATATTACGTCTGTTACATATATTCTTGAATTGAATTGTTTACACATTATCTGAAATCGTAACAAGCGTATATTTACGGAACACATACGATATAGATAGATGAGTAGATAGGTACGATTTATATACATATGTATATAATGCATATGTATGTGTGTATGTGCGCGCAAGAAGGTTAGTCCATAAGGGCCAGGCAGGCAGGCAGGCAGGAAGGCAGGAAAGCAGGCAGGCGAGTCTCGCCTCGCCTCGCCGCTGTATTGACGCGCGGCGTTCAGGCTTGCGCGAGATGACGCAATCTCCCTCCCACTATATTCTCTCTCTCTCTCACTCTCTTCTCACCCTTTTTACCCCGGGCCACTCATTCCGCAGCTCAGCTGCGCTCCCCACTTGGGCGCTCCCTTCCGCAGGCGCAGGTCTTCCGCCGCACACCTCGTCCCGCGTCCGGCGCCCACAAGTTCAATGCCAAGGTCAAAGCGGCCACGACTCGCAACCATGTCGGTCGTAAGTGCGCGCGATATTCGTTCGTTCTCGTCGGTTCGCTCGCGCTTGTTCCGTGTGCGCGCCCGGTGTCCCTCTTTCCGCGTACGCGCTTCTCGTCTCTTCCTCGACGACAGCGAGAGTAAAAGACGTCGCGCTCCGCTTTCCTCTCATCGTCCCGCTGCCGTCATACCGTCGTGCCGTCGTCGCCACTCGTCGATGCGATGTCGTCTATGTGTTGCTTTCGCAAATTAGGTTCGTGCGCGCTACGTGCTTCAAGTGCCCATCGACGAATTTCGCAGGTGCAAATTACGCTCGTATGTGCGTCAAATGCCCATCGTCTCGACAACGACGAATGAGCAGACATTTTGAATATGCGATATCCGCGTCGTAGTGTCGTTCGTTTCGAGGAAATTGTCGTGTATTTGACATTTGGATATTTTAAAATAATTTACGCGATGTTGTCGCGTAGATGGGACGCGAATATTTCGACGCGGATATTACTCCGTCTCTTTGTAAAAGCAATTCCGATGACGATGACAACGACAACGAGGAGACAGATGCGTGGGCGTCGACAAGGAGGGATGGAGAATACGTAGTGCGCGCTACCGATCGAGAGCGTCGATTTGTGTGATCTCGTGAATCTTCGCTCCGCGGAAGGGAGCAGGAAGGTCGGCAAGGTCGTACGGCGTGACATGGCGCTGCGCGGTGCGCGGTGCACAGAAGGAGCGGAATACCACGGAATACCCGCGGTCGCGGAGGCAGTAGCGCGCGGCGCGAGATTCGCGTCACGGGCCAAGATGGCGGCGGATTTCGGACAGGATCCGGACGGACGCTGCGCCGCGCCGCGCCGCGCCGCGTCGAGGTAAGCCGCATCGTTGTGTTGGATATATCTATATGTAGTATATCGCCGCCACTGTCACGCGTTATCGATTTCGTGGGAGGTCCTTTCTACGCGAGAATCGCAGTGGCTCTCTCAAGGTCACTCTCGTGAATCGCGCCTAATCTTTTGGGACTCGTCCTCTCGTTCCGCCGGAATCGACCGATCCTTTATTCAGGCTCAATTAGTATTCGAATGTAATCGATATTGCGTATCGTTGCGTCACTCTGGATCTATCTTTGAATTTGAATCATCTTATTATCTAGACGAGCGAAATATCGTTTTCGAATATGCCTTTTTTATTTCTCGTAAATAGAAATAATCAAATTACTCGTCATGCGCCTTGGAAAGGTTTACGTTTTACGTCGAGAGACAAATCATCCATCGGACATGGCGTTTTGGTTGAATGAGGGTTAATTTAAGCGCGAGAGATATTACCGCGCAACACTCGACCGGATGATCTATAGTAGCCGTCGCTGTTACGATGTGACACCATTATGATGTAAGCTCGTACCTACTCTTCGTGGAGAGCGGTGAGATCAATTGACCGGTTTTCCCGGACTCATTCGTGCTGATAACCACATTGCTATTAGCCTTTCATTTATTACGTGCACAAAAAAGCTTTCATATATTACTTGTGAAAATGTTCTAATATATATTATTTCTTATATGTATTGTTTAACGTTAAACAAGAACGATGGTAAATGGTAAAGATAATAAGAAAATAAATGAAAATAGAGATAAATAAGATATAAGCGAATAACGATGGAGCGAAAAACTTGAGTCTAAAATTTTGCTTGTAAATGGATAATCTTTTCTTGCTGCGCGGAGACGACGGCAGCGTAGCAACGGCGGCGGCGGTGGCGGCGGCGGCGGCAACGGCGGCAACGATGTAGTATCGATTAAAACTCGCACCATACCTGCCGTTGTGTGTGCTTAACCTTGACCTTGCGTCCCGGGCTTTCTTACGTATCATTTCAGCTCTCAGGGCTTCGTATGGAAACTGGCAACTTTTTCGTACTAACGATTATGCTCGCTATATCTACATTAAAATTGCTGTATATGTTGCGACGACAGTCTCAAAAGGCCCTTTAGAATTTTTGCTTAAGACGAATCTGCGTACGTTCGCGATTTGAAGCGACGAATTCAATTCGAGATACATAGTTTACGTCTCTTGATATAGCGATGCCAGATGATTTATTCGTCAAGTTTTATTAAAGCGTGCCTTCAATTTTCTTTTTTCTTGCCTACTTTATTTTTGCTCCGACAATATATCTACGATGATATTTCTTTTAGCAGTTCTCCCTTTATTTTTCTTTCCTATTTCTTTTTATACCATTCCTTATATTCTCTCAACCTTATGTATGTTTCGGTTCTTTTTCTTTCTCGATATTGAACTTAATCGATTCTAACTTTCAATTCGCACGACTCGACTCACGTAATTTCATGCAAGCGAACTTACCTTGACATTATAAACACATCTGATGCAATAGAAAGATATCTTTAAAAATCGGATAGTAAATTAATTTAAAAATCTCTCAGACAGTAAATTAATTTAATTTAACGATAATTGAAAACGATTTAATGATACACGATTTAATGCTGATTGAATTGAAACTAATCTTTGTTTTTTTTCTTAATACTCACGATTAGCAACATTCCGTTGACTGTGTGAATAAAGTGTATTCTGTGTTCATAACAGTGAAATTATATTTTTACAAAAATGTTTCATAAAGATCTATTAATCGTATTAAATAAAATAATAAAACAATAAATGAAAAAAAAATAAAATTTTATTTTTGATATCTCAAGTTTTTATTACTTAACAATATTAATTAATTAGTACATATTAACGATATTGCTTTCACTTTTTCGCAATTTTACAAATTCTTATTTTGTTCTGTAAATTGTATTTTAACGGCTTGTTCAACGCAGTTGAAGTGCACTTTACGTAATCAGATGTAAAGTGAGTGCCACATATTTATCGAAATATTGTATGCATGGTGAAAAGGACAGTTCCGTTAGTTTACACACTTTAATAGCAACAATAAGTGGATGCAATGAGACTGATGCAATCGTGTAGCGATGTGTTTTCGATGCATTCGCGTGAAAGCTATTATTGGATCCGTTTATATTCCGTCATTGCATGGCTTGTCCATGCTTTTTTTATATTCAAGAAACATCGGGATTATCCTGCGTTGAAGCGGCACTTAATATTATACGCAGATAAAAATGTTTATAAAATGATTTACTTAGTCATTTAAGTATTAAGTATGATTCAGTATACTTTTTCCATCAATTCTTTTATATTTAATTTTTCTGCAAGAGATTTATTTTCTTTTCTTTTAGGAATTATATTTTTGTGTTAATGTACATGATACGTTCAGTAAATTTGTTTCTACGTATCTGTGCCATTATCTCTCTCTCACTCTCTGTGAGATATTACACATTTTTAACAGTAATGACGTTTATGTAATACATATTTATCTGCAAATTTTATGACTTTTCCAGTTATATACAATAGTAACCAAGTTATAAAAAAAATTGTTTTGCCTATATAATCAAAGACATTTTTCGCTCTAGTAATGTACAAAACAAAGATTTTAACGAACGAAAATTCGGTACGTGGGATAAAGCACTTATGCGTGTAACAAAATATCATTGTGTGTTTAGGAGATAAATTCCGTCTTGTGCTGTCGACGACGTTACGTGAAGATGGATATCCAGATGGTAACGAGTGGAATCCTATGGAACAAGAGGGAGGTTCCAGGGCGGATAGTTTTGAGTACGTCATGTCTGGCAAGGTGTATCGAATTGAAGGTGACGAAGCCAACAACGAACCCAGCAGCAGACTGTAAGTAGCCGTTGTTCTATTCTTCATATCAAGCGTGTAAGATCAGTCTGGAAAATTAGCTTTTTATCCTTTGGAAAACTTTAATTTATTGTATTAGGCAAGTTCAATTAGTAACATATGGAAAAAATTAACAAATATATATTTTATGATCAATTAAGAATAGAAAATTAAAATCAAGGAACGAGTTTTTTTCAGATTGATCTTACTAGTGAAATATATTTGGCAATTAAGATTTGTTTGCACTCTTTACGATCTTTGGCATTATGATTTTACCTTGAAATCTTGTATCATTGTTTATAAAGTGTGCGTACGATACGCAGCGATAGTTACATGAGAATAGATAAGCGGAACAACTTGTTATAGTAATCACATTTTGATAACAGTGCGATAATCTGTAAATTTTATACGAAATCATCAAAAATTGTTACGCTTAAACTGTTACTTTCTTTTAAAGTACAAAATACTTGGTCTTTATTTAAACACTCTTCATTATTAATTGTATCTTATTAGAGTATCTTACTTTGGAATAATTTTCCTTTACACATTTCAAGGTAAAAATAAATTTATACAAATTCTTGTTACATACAAAAATGATTAAAAATCTTGTAGTGCAAACGAATCTATACACTTCTTTTTGCAATATCCGAGCAGAATCCTGAAATCTTATTGCGTGATTGATCTGATGGTGTACGTTCGAAAATATCAATTACGAGAATTTATCACTGTTACTTATATGCATATTCTGTATTGATTTGATTCCGCTCGGATACACCATACGCTGGCCTGTATCGGGCTTATCGGGAAATACATACGGATACAGGATACGATACATGACGTCGCTCGAACGATACATTGATGTGCGACAAACATTCTGTTGTGCGATCTCTTATTGGCTCGTTTCCAAGCGCTCTCAATGAAGCCGCGTGAGCTTCCGAAAACAACTTTCTACGCCGCTTGTAGAGAAATTGGCTCTCTGTTGTCGTTGATTAGCGTTCTAAACAAGTTTTTTCGATTCGATCGAGGAGCGATACTATCAACACCATTGACCATTCTTATATAATTAGTGAATGGTAGAAAAAAATATTGAGCAACGCAAAGTGTTGCAAACAATTTTTTGAGATGATTTTAATAAAAACAAAATGAACAAAATTATGTTGCAAATAAATTAATGCAATAAATAAATGCGATATACTTTCGACACTTTATTTAAATAGATGTCACGCAAATAAGTTTTTGTGCGAAACTGTATATATTTAAAAAAGTATTATGATTAACAGTAATTGAATGGCAATAAAATTAAGGTTGTATGAATTACGTGATACGCAATTGCCCGAACCTTGGCACGATTGGCTGAGCACGCCGAAATAGTGCGTCATCGGGTGGGCCATTTTTAGCTTCGTCATTCATGAACTATGGACTCGCTATTTTTTCAAACGCAGTTTTTTTAGCTCTTTGTATATTATTGCCAAAAAAATGAGTGCGGCAAATAAATGTACATTGTAAAAATTAGGTTGAGAATTAGGTTGAGCTATTATATATATATATATTAGGTGTTGGAATTAATTCGTAGCGTTTTACAAGTGATGGGAAGTACTTTCATTAATGTATTTTTTAATGCTCATGTGAAATAAATAACATTCTTTCATTAAAAACGCTACGAATTAATTCCAACACCTAATATATATACATAAATAAATATATATACATAAAAATATATATATACATAAAATTTAAATCATCAGATAATATTACATTTGTATCAGAGCTGGTAAAAATCACGTTTTAAACATGTTTTAAATTGCTTAATTTATATTTTTTAACATATTTTAAACATATTTTTTTGTAATACTAACGTTTAAAGCGTGTATGAAGCATTAAAAACATGTTTTAAAAAAATACAATAGTTTATTCTTTAAGAAAAAAATATTTTTTGCCAATCCTGTTTTTTAGAAATAATGCTCATGAATTCTTAGACAAGAATTTATAACGAAGAATAAAATTTTAAATTTTATTAATCGCCGAACAAGTGTTATGAAGAAAATTGTGAAATTTCTGTAATTTAAAATTGCTTTCCAATCGGACGGGAAACCGAAGGTTGCACGCGAGTGTTGGGCTTTCCATTTAAACGTGCTGAACGAAATGCGGAATTGCGCGATAACCCCGCGGTTTGACCGACTTATCGCATTGACCTTGGGACGTGGCCGCGACGTCGGTCGCATCGGTTGCGTCGCCGTTGATTTCGCCGCAGGTTGTACCACTACTGCGCGCAAAACATGCCGCGCTCTGTTGACGCTATTAAAGATAGAACGCAACGTTATAGACGGCACGATAAGAAGAGAAAGATAATGACGCGTGCTTTAAACATTTGAGTCTGTTAAGCGTTTTAAATCGGCCGTGCAAGTGCGGTACTATTTATCGAATGCGACGTCATTTTGTAGCGCTTCTTCATAATACTCAGAGATTAATTACTTAACATTTAATTTTTCATTAGCTTTTTTTCCATGCGCTGTCAATCTTCGTCTCAATTAAAGCGTAATGTAATCTCAGCTGTTTGTTATGTAATTTGTAAATGTAATTAATTAACAAAATATAGATCATACATTATATTCTGACAAGTGTAAGATATAATGACGATTAATAAATTTATGTCTATCGGAGTATCTTGAATATCTAAAATTTACAATTGAAAGAATCATTGGACCTTCTGGTATTAGAAAGATAAATGTACGTTTATCTTTTTTATTAATTTTGTTTGTCTGCCTTCTTTATGTATATAGTGTTTTCTATAATAATAATATATTTGCTTTTTTGATGTTATTTAATTAATATTTTTGTATATATTTTTAATTTTAATATTTTTAAAATTTTAAATCTCTTGAACAAAATTAGATTAGATATCAAATCTATTATTATATGATATACGTAAATTAATAATTCAAAAGATAAATCTTAAATTAATTTATTTTATTGTGCAATATATAAGAAAAAAAAACGTAGTGTACATATTTAAATATATTAGATTCGCTAATTGTATTAGAGGATCAAGATTTACATTTCTCAGTTATTCTTCCATAACTTGTATATTGATATTGACTCAAGATTGTTAAGTGGAATACGCCATGTGTAATCAGACAAGCCTACACTATATGCTTATTAATGATACGTGATAATTGTTTTTAGTAGCTTCTTAGTTTTTTTTTCTTACTATTTTTTTGCAATTGATTACTGAATCACAGATAGGATGAATAGTATTTTTCGGTATTTTTCTGGAGATTCAATAATTGTAACAGTGTCAATTAGCGCTGTGTGGATTATATTAATTTTTTTGTGGAAAATTCAAGTATCGCATCCATGTGTGTAAATGTTAAAAAACTTAAATACATATATAAGTTTATTGTATATTCTGTTGTTTTTTTTTCTATGTATGTTTTCCATAGCAAATACAATCAAAAGAGCAAGACAAGAATACAAATTGTAGAAGAAAGCATCTCATGAATATTATTTATAAGAAAGTATAGAATAGTAAGTAGAGTTGTTTTTATTTACGTAATAGGATATTTCATAATTCTCACTCTTTTGGTCATACTGTAATCATGTAATCGAAATATGATACGGGAGGATATTGAGCTCGATCGATAAGAAGATGTTTGGCAGAAACAATGTAATTCCACGTTGAGATAAGCGAACATTTGCAACAAGGCGATACTTCATGATGTGGCGTGACGATTATACGCCATTATCCGGTCGGTAAAAGAGTGCGCACGTACCAGAGAGATCAGCGGAACGAGCTTTCGGAGGACAGGGAGCCACTCTGCGTTCACTCGGTAGGTAATGAAGCGGGTGAACACAGCTGGTGGTATCTCAGTTTTCTGGGGGCATTGGCAACCCGACTGGCAAAAGTCGAAAAGTCGAGAGTAATCATCGAGAAAGACGGCCGAAAGCGACACAACAATAACAATAGACGAATTTAGATCGGATGTCTCGCTGTATCGAGCAATTGCAAAGTTCAATTCTTTTGTGATCGATGACTTCCTCCCCGGTTCTCCCATAGTGAGGATCTCGAGCTATACAAAATCAATTTGTACTTGTCAAAGTAAGATCAGTATCACATTTCAACATTTATATAACTATAGATATGGAATAAGATTACTTATTTTTTGTTATCTGTACTTCGTGTCAGATTTTCAGGGAAATGTTAGAATTTTATTTATAACTTTGTATCTTTATTTTTTTTAATACGTATTTTAATTTTTTAAAGTATCTTATATTTTATTATATGTTTATATATATATATATATATATATATATATACATATAAAATTATAAAAAAAAAATTCTATTCTCCCCTCTCCCCGAATCTAACACGAATATGGATAATTCAAAGTTTGCTTTAGATATTTGTCACCTAAATTGAAGATGGATACAAAAGTCTTGATGCTTTTTCAAGAGATGGCGTATCTGTTGATTTGCAGTTGCGAGATATGTTTATATATTAAATAGAATTGAAAAAGTAATGACGTTAATTCTGTAATGTGAATCGGTTTAATTTAATCGTATTTTCATGATGATAGAAACGAATGAAAATGAGCGTAAAAAAGTAAACATCGTCCATCATGCTACACAAGATGTTTTACAAGAGTAAATATCTTCTATCATCCTGTACCAAAGAGATTCAAACATTTGCAGCTATTGTGAAAATATTTCGACGTAGTTACTTCGATTTGGACGAGATTAAATAATACAATACTTGTACTATAATTATATAATTTAACTTTAGTTAATATTGCGTTTGTTCCTTCGTCTGCGAGGGGCGTGACAGCTGGGAAACGAATTATTGATCGGGGTAGCTCGAGACCCCGGAATGAATATAGCTGATACCCCGGCAACATTGGTAACGCGCAGGCACACACATCCTGTCGTCGTGACGTGATCCACTCTAAAAAAAATTTCAAAATTTCAAAATTATCGTTATCTAATTATTATATTTATTATTTTTTGGATTGTGGTACTTTTAATATTAGATATATTTATATTTTATTTTTATTATGAGTTGCTGATGTTTCTTGTAAAAAAAAACCAAGTTCCATAATATTTCATTTACTGTTGCGTTATATTAACATTCCTGTTAATACAATTTTTGAAATATGATAAAATTCAACGTAAATGAGTAATACAAACGTTTCATTAGTTTCCAAAATATTCTGTCGGGGATTTTTCTGTCGGAATTGAAATGTGAATTCTCTTTGCTTTTATTTAATCGGTATTTGATGCTGAGTAGATTATTGGAATGACAAGTCTCTTGACAGAGAACCTGTAGCACAAATTTCTTCGATCTCATCTCGGGGATGTGGGTTCTGCTAGAGTCAGCTGATCAGGATTAGTGCAGGCGCGTGCGCACAATGCAATGCTTCCCGATTGGTCGATACCTCGGCTAGGACGCGCAAGGTCGCCCGGGCTGTCAAAATCAGCTGACGCCGGAACAACCAATCAGCTGACGCTCGAGCTTAGGAGAATCCCCTCCTCCCCCACCGTTGGGTTTTACTTCTACGCTGTCTGATTTTTCGTCGGATTTTCCACGAGATTCACTTGAGAGTAAACTTGGTTTGTTAATCGAATAATGGAAACATTCTCGATGGAAAAGGATCACGCCAGGATCACGCCAGGATCACGCCAGGATCACTTATGATGCGCGCAAATAACTTTGGAGTGAGATTTTCTTATTTCTAATAATCAAGTTCGAAATACAATATTATACATTTTTGAGGAATCATGTCATTTATTTATTTATTTTTTTGACAAAATTCTAATTACTGCAACACGTATTTATTTAAAGTCTCTTTTGAAACTTATTGTATCCTTTTTATCGAAGTATATTATTTGTCAAAGAGAAAAAAAGTGAGAGAGAATGGGGAAATTAAATTTGATTAATCTTACTCTCAGTTTATGTATTGAATTTAAATTATAAATACGCAAAATTTGACTCTTCGATGCGTCACTGCGTTAAAGTATCATGTGTCCGTTGGCGGCAAAATTGTACTGGCTGTAAAATATGCGTTCATATGCGCAACATGTCTTGCGGTTTTTCTTCCTTGTGAGTCACGTCGACCGCCGTTCCACGGTCACATGTATCTCCTAATATCGTGGAGAGCAGCCTAGGACCGTGTCGGAAGGCGGTATACGTATACACAGCCGACTCGACGGAAAATTTAACCGCCACGTCATCCGACGTTGCGCTGCAGCGAGAAAACTCGGGCGGACGAGTAAAACTGTCACGGAATTGCCGCATTACGTAAAATCGCGAGGCGGAATTGCGGTATGCTGCATTTTTGGCAGCCGATATGCAAAAACATTTCCTTCTCTTTTTCGTGATGCGTATATACATGTATTGCGTGTATGTTATTGGCATGATTTTTCGTCAGGTATATTATGCGCCGAAAATCGCATCGATACGCCGCATGTTTGGCCGCAGTATAATCAAAGCAACGTCACAACCGATCTATGTTTTCTCGATTATGTTTTCATCTTCTTTAGATAATATTTATAATAAGTCTATGTTCATTTGCCCATCTGTTATCGAATTTATATTATTGCGGCTTAATAATTTTAAAAATACAATGGTTATATATTATTAAAGTTTTTTAATATTGGGAAATATACAAACAGCTTTGACATTGTTTAAATGTCATTTCTTAATAATTACCGTGTTGTAATTGTTAAAATAACTGTTATGTTCAATAAGATAAAATGTTAAAGGTTGATACCGTATTATACGCTTTTGCCATGTCCTAAGATTTCTTATTTTAATCTTTTTGATTAAAAATTCGAGCGAGAAAATTATTTTTTTTTTTAAAACAGATTGCAGACATATCATTCTTCGAATGATTGCGCTGACCCGTATAATTCCTACGACAGAGCGATACTGATGTTCGAGAATTAAAAAATCCGGATCAACCATTAATATTCTACATCAGTCTATATCGATATTACTCACACACGATCAATAATGTTAGTATTTGTTGGTACTGGACAATATTATTGATCGTATAAGATCCGCATAACATATTACTGCGATAGTGTGTTCTTTGCGAACTAGTCTACTTTTTTATACCTTTGTACTTAAAACATTGTGAACATATTATACTATACGCACAACGAATATGCGGAAAAAGGAAGAGCTCATTATTACATAACGCGTGTATTATGCAATTTCATCGCGTTGTTGTGTTTATCAACAACTGATTTGGTTTTCTTAGAGATGCTCTATTTATAAAAGTTTTTCCAAATTTTTCTTAAGAATCATTGCTCATGAATATTAAAGCTCTATAAAATATTAATTTGTTAAATTAATGATATACTCAAGTTGCGGTATGTTATTTATTACTAAATAACATATTTTAAATCTCAGTAATCAGCAAAGGCTAAAATTTATCTTTATTAAAGATCTTTTTAAGATCCCTTTTTGGAGTCCCAAAAGATGCCAACAATTAAACTTGTAAATAACAACGTATCATCTATTCACTTACGGATTAAAAAATAATCTTTGATGTATTTTAAGAACGTAGAAACATTTAAAGAACGTAGTGATAGACGATATTGTGAATATTTTAGAACGTTATTAATAAATTATGCGTGAATATTAGTAAAATGCGTGTAAAAGCATTAATAAGGTATAAAGTCACGTTATAACGTTTGCAAGTGATACATCGACTCTGTCCAATCATGCGCGTTTAAACTAATGCCGACGTCATTCGTTGCAAAAGGGGAGTTAGCTTGAGTTACTAAATTACGGTACGTTAAAATATCTCGTCGTTGAATCAAACATTATTTCTCATTCTAATAGCTATTCTGAAGAATCGTGATTGACGCACAGTCGTAAATTTAACACAGTAACTCGGTTTTTTTTTTATTAATTTCACATATACCTTTATATGTGCATTAAATGGTTAGTATAATATAAATATTTTATTGTTCCAAAATATTAGGTGTTGGAATTAATTCGTAGCGTTTTTAATGAAAGAATGTTATTTATTTCACATGAGCATTAAAAAATACATTAATGAAAGTACTTCCCATCACTTGTAAAACGCTACGAATTAATTCCAACACCTAATATAATCGAAAATATTTCACGATATAGTATTTAGAAACTTATTTATTGCGAATTGAATTATGTGTAACATGAAAGCTTAGTCGTAAGATAATTAATAGGAGATTCACGATGAAGGAGTTCTCGAGCAGGTAATTTTGTACCTCGATATTACTGTGGGTGTTGTACCGAGTTGCCGCCAACACTCGCAGGCTCTCTTCTCTACCCGGATGTGAGCCAGGCTCTCTCCGGTTCCCAGGGGTGACCCAGTTTCGTTTATCCCCTCGGAGTCAGCCTACACTTGCCTGGCGAACACATCCCTCCTCCCTCATGCACACCTACGCGCATTTTCCATGAACTATATCCATTTACAGTTTTCTCGTTTTCGATTCTGTGTTATTTCACCGTATATTTCGCACAAATATTGTTTCAACGGCACTAAGATTAATTTTCAACGGTCTATTATTTAATTTACTTTCTTTTTTTAATTACGTTATGTGGTAAAAGATTTGTTGACAAAGATAATGAGATGATTATGTCTTTAGGATGTTTATATATGTAAATTAAGGCAAAGAGCCATATGTAGCTATTCGAATAGTTTTATTTCAACAACATTTTAAAATTGGGAATATATTTTAAATTGCGTAAGAACTTCATTTGAAAGAAATTTTAAAAGAGGTGTAAGCGAGTGTAACTGCTAGAATTAATTTTTTTATTTTACTCCAACATTTTTTTCTCACGCGCCGATTATTTTTCTGGTAGTAAGATCTACGAAGAATATACGTGCAATGTGTATTTACTCATAAAATTGAAGATCTCTCGTTTTGACGGGCGCTTGCCGCGCATCCTTGCCGGGACTGCTCCTGGGAAAAGGTCAGACAGTCAGAGGCTAACCTAGTGACTGGAATTAGGTCAACCCCTGACAGGGACCGTCCCCACTTTCCCCGAACACGCGGAAGAGTCCACGTTGTTACGTGTTCATAGCGAAGCCAGATTGCACGTAGCCGATACGACACAATGTCATTTTGATCTGAAGAATTGAATCCTCGATTGACCAAAGGTTAGCAGCTATTTAGTAAGAAGTAAGTACATGAAATCGAGATATGTAATTGTGTTAGAGAATAAATGTGACAATATACCGCGTGCTCGAATAGGTCGATTTAAAAATTGAGAAAAGGAGTTTAATTTTCGCCTGTTCTGAAATAAAATTATTATAAAAAGAAAAAAGAGGTCTTGAAACAAAATTATTACAAAAAATTATCGTTACAACGCGAAGCCATCAATTGTAATTTGCACTCACAATCATAAATGGTCGATTCTATTTTATGATAGATACGTATATTGACTAATAGACATATATGTATTAATAATAAATAAAAATTGTTTCGTTTGCAAAATTAATTGAACATGAAATCGTTCTTATCTCTTTAAAATTCATTGCATCCTTAATATTGTTCAAGGTCGACAAGTGCGAGCGTTTCTATGCCTACTGTTATAGTATTGAGAGTAAAAGCTGATTTTACTTGGATCGATACACCATCCCGTTCCTTTCCCATTTCTTCACGTTTTTAATATTCTTCGCGCTTCTTGCTACGATGTTTTGAGATAGTAAGGCGCTCTCATTTGCGCAAAGAAATTATATTTTAATTATATTTTTTGTTGTTTAATTTTACTATAACCTCGATTTTTATTTAAATAATTATATTTATGTGTAATTCGCTTTATATCGTTGTTTCATAAATTTTATTATATATGCAAATTCTTATTAGACTGAAAAAATAGTAATAATTTATTTTTAACAGACTCAAAATTTCTATTTGTTCCACCATAACATGCTCTAGAAGTAACAAGAATTATTTGAAAATTTTATGGATAAAAATACATTTTTAAAGAATGAATATTTCATATTTTAATTCTATGAACAGATTTGACATTATTCTGTTTGTACATGGCATACAAAATTTTGAAATTATGAAAAGTTATGGAAGAAAGAGGGAATGACTACGTCATGTGTCAAGTGGATTACATCAGTGTCATACAACATTGAAATATTCTTTGCGCAATTAAAAAGAATTATGGGAGATAAGAGGAAATCTCATTCATGGAAGCTTGTTGAATCTGTCGATCACATCAAGTTTTACGATTTTATATTTCGAAACTCCTTTTTCACTTTCTAAGTATTTTTTTGATTCGTAAATTTCAAACATTATTTTCGCATGTTTATCAATATGCGCCTATCAATGATAAATGTTATTTTTTCTCGAAAAATTGCTTGAAAACACATTTTGGTTATCATTTTTAAATAACATACCTTCATCATTATATCAATGGCGCTTAACATTTCTACATTTATCGCATTATATATCCAATACTCGAAGTAGCACTTCTGTAATATTCGCTTGACCCTTACATTAAGCAAAGTTATAGTTACTATCAAGAGTAAATTTAACTTTGGCGCATCTTCACTATTATATTATGTTACATTTTCTTTCATGTAATTTATTTAACATATTATTCGTCTG